AATTCACCAAATGTGAAGCCATCTGGGCCTTTGCTCTGGAGATGTTTTCATTCTCTTGTTTATAGGTCTTTTTAGATTTGGTTTCGAGTCAGTTTTGGTAGTTCGTGTCTAAGAATTTTATCTAAGTTTTCTAAGTTTTGACATACAGTTGTTCAGTGTTCTTGTAAACCTTTATATTTTTGTAAAGACGGTAATGTATCTTTTTTCATCTTTCAATTAAAGTAATTTGAGTCGTCTCTTCTGGTCATTTTTGTTAATGGTTTGTGAAATTTATTGATCTTTTCAAAAGAACTAACTTTTGGTTTGTTGATTTTCTCTAATGTTTTTCTGTTTCCTATTTTATGTATTTCTGCTCCAATCTATTTTATTTCTTTCTTTTGCTTGGTTTGATTTGCTTTTGCTCTGCCTTGAAGGTTAGGTTATTGATTGGAGATACTCTGTTTTAATGTAGGCATTTATGCCTATACATTTTTCTGTAAGTACTACTTTAGTAGCATCCCGTAAGTTTTGGTGTATTGTGTGTTTATTTTTCATTAATCTCAAAGTATTTCTAATTTTTCTTTTGTTTTCATCTTTCAGCCATTTGCTATTGAGTGTTTTATTAAATTGTTATATATTATTTGTGATTTTCCCATTTCTATTTGTTACTGGTTTCTAATTTTATCCTATTCATAGTCCATGTAGAACATATCATAATTTCTATGTTCTGTGGTTTTCAGTCCTTTGAAATTTATTAAGGCTTGTTTTGTGGCCTATCTTGTGGTTTGTCCTGGAGAAGGTTCCATGTGCACTTGAGATGAATCTGTATTCTGCTGTCCATTATTGAAATGTGCAGTATCGAAGTCTCCAGTGAATACTGCTGAATTATCTGTTTCTGTCTTCAATTCTGTCACTTTTTGTTTCATACAGTTTGAGGGTCAGTTCTTAGGTGCATATAATTGTTATGTCTTCCTGATACATAGACCCTTTTATCAATGTAAAATGTCCCTTTTAGTCCCCAGTAGCAATTTATGTCTTAAAATCTATATTTGATAATAGTATAGCCACTCTAGGTCTCTTTTAAGCACTATTTGCATGGAATATCTTTTTTTATCCTTTTACTTTTAACCTGTGTCTTTGTATCTAAAGTGAGCCCCTTGTAGATAGAATATAGTTGGGTCTTGTTTGTTTATTCAGTCTGACAATTTTTGCTTTTTCATTGGTTTGTTTTTATTTAATGTAGTACTTATAACATAATTTTTTGTTGAAACTGATCATTTTAAGTAATACCTTATGGCAACTTTGGAAATCACATTCTTTCCTTCCTCCCCCAGGTTTATTGTTGGTGTTTGTTGTTTTTGTTGCTCATTTCTTATTTCGTGACTTTCTTGAACTAATTCTTAAAGTCTGTATTTTTTTTTGTTGTGATAGATACTGAAATCTCTGGTTAGCTTAGTGTCCAGCTAATGATTGGACAGAGATGTCCTTAAATGCTGCAACCAATAAATCTCCCAACTTTTGCTGAAGGGCTGTCTGTGTGTATTGGGGCATGCTTTCAGTTTTCTGGCAGGCAGGCTATGCATCTCTACCTTCCCCTTACTGCCTGCTTGTACAGAGCCCCAAAGTTAGCCAGAGGTGAGACAGTGCCCTCTTGGGTCTTTCCTGGGTGTGTGCACCACCTTGCACATATGAGTGGCCTTCCAGTTTCCCAGGAATGTGTTAGAGCTTTTCATAGTTCTTGTGAACATCTTACTCTCCAGGTTTTCCTTGTAAGCCTTTGGTCAGTTTCTTTGTCCCAGTTGTTACTTCTTTCTCAGGCAGCTGTCACGTTAGACAGTTGCCCCAGATTCTTTTTGCTCATGGCTTCCGTGTAAGGAGTCTTGCACTGAGCATGCTCTGAATTAGGTCAAATAAAGAAAAACCTTATGAATGGGGGTTTTGCGATATGCCAGACAGGTCAAATAATAACAGTTCTCTGGGAATGGGGACTTTCACTGAACTGCAGACTGTTCAACGCTTTCCAGGGGCTGTGGGGCTGCTGGTTTTCAGACTGCTGTAATTGTGAGGCCATTGGTTTTCAGCTGGTGGACTGGAGATGGAAATAGAGGGCAGGAAAACAAAGGAAAATGCCATTCCGACTAAGATTCAGCTGTTTTTCTTGAAGAATGCCCCTCGGATTATTGTAAGCCTTTGTTTAATTTGAGGATTTTGAAAAACTTGATTTTGCCAATGTTTTCTTTGTGTTTTTTGGAGGAGCAGATGTTCAGAGTTCCTTATTCTGCCATTTTTGAAGGGTTCTTCCTGTCTGATTTTGTGATTTGCAGTATTTTCTGTTACTTTTGGAATATTAGTGATATATTTAAAAAACTTTTTATAGTCTCTTCTTTCCTCTAAGTTGGGATTTTTGGGTATGTGTTTATTCATGTTGGTCTCTTTTATGTTAGAAGCTTTGCTTATCAATCTTAGAAATTTTGGTTGTCTGCTCATATTAAAGAGTAGTAGACTAATAAACCAGTGAGAAGCTCTGTGTACAAGTGGAGCTTGTCGATGGAAAGATTACTGGTTTTTGCTTCTGGGAAATTATCTTAAATTTATAAAATATTCTAGGAAGGAATAATTAGTTTGAAATCTTATAGTAAAATAAATGATAATTAGATTGAAGAGTTGAATATAAAATTCAGAAAAACCAGGGGGAAATGGTATTGGTTATTCGTCAAACTAATAAATAAATTTATTTTAAATTTGAGATCTAGAGATTAAAATTAAAAAAATGAAAACAATTGGTGACTTCAGAGGGTAATCATTAGTTATGTATTCAGTGTCTTTTAACATATAAAACTCATCATTTTAGACTTGTGCAAATTGATAGGTCCCAAGAGAGGCATTTTTTATTATTGTGTAGCAGACAAAAGCCATTCATTCCTAAGGAATGTTTTGTTGGTGTTAGAATGTCAAGTAATTGATCTCTTGAGGTAGCAATCTTGATAGGAGCCATTGTATATGCATTATTGAGCAGAGAATGAGACATCTAATGAGACAGAAGTGTGAAAGTAGAGGGAAAGGCACGCCTGAATAAGGGATTCTGAATTAAGGTGCAGTTGCCAATAACCAATCTTTTTAGTGTTCTCATACCTAGCTGTTTGGGTGCCAGTTTTGGGTAATCTGGCTGCAGTGAGTAGACGTTACCATAGACAGAGAATCTACAGATTCCTCCACAGTTGCCATTGATAATGATGAATACTCTCCCAGGCATGGAAGAAATGATTTCCCCCTCCAAGTAATTTCAGGAACAACCAGGTTAGACATATACCTTGTCCCTAACCTGCAAATTTGCAGGCATGCTCATGTCAGAAGGTATAGTTGTGACACAATAAAGTGGTAATTCAAGGCCTCGGCAACCTGTCTGGTGATGTTATTTATGGGCTTATTAAGCCATTGGAGATCTTTGTTACTTATAAAAGGGAGGGTGATGGAAACATCATCAGAAATTGATTCTAAGCCATTTTTCCAGTTCTTTAATAACCACCGGATTTGAAAGTGAGTGATAGTTTTACTTATATCTGGTCCTGAAATGACAAATAGATTTTTAATTCTGTGCCAGCTTTGATTAATTAGTAGCAGCTGCCTGGAGAAGCTTGGAGAAGTCTTCTGAGGCTATATCTGACTTAGATGGAAAGATGGGTTGAAAGTTATTGATATCTACCATAGAATGGGAAGTGAGAGAGGCAGTGTATCAGGTTAGTTCATCCCTTTCATTTTTACATCTATTTACTGATGTGTATTTTTGGCTCCCCTGTTACTTAGAATGTAACATTTTAAGTAGAATAGAATGAAGTAGAAATGGAAGCTCTAGAAAGTAGAATCTTTACACATTTGACATTTAGCTAGCTCAGTGCTAGGTTCAGTGAATGAACTAATGAATGAATTGATATCAGAATGTGTGAAATATTTAATTTTCCATAGTGAGAATGGGGGACAGGATTAGATAGATAACAGCTCTTTTACACAATGAGGTAACTTTCCTGCATGACATAGTGCTTGGTGTGTAGACAATACTAAAAGAACATAGTTCCCATTCCTACTCCAAGGAGCTTCCATTCTGGTTGGGAAGAAAAGACAAACGTGATTGAAATGATTAATTTGTCTGACAGGATGGTTGTAAGTGCCAAAACTTAGTTTGGTCCCTGAAATGGGTGGCTTAGGTTTGAATGCATAGTACATTATCTTGGAATCCTGACTTTTATACTCATTCATATGTACCCGTTTTGCTTGGGAAAGATTCTTTTTCCTTGACTTTATCCCCCATCCCACCCTCAATTTTTCGCTCATTTTTGGTGTCACTAGGATGGGATATTTTGACTGGTTAAGGAGTTTTGCTTCAATTTAAATGTCAAGGTAAAAATGATCCATTAATAGAAAATAAATGACATGTTGATTTTTTTTAAGCTGAAGATTATCTGGTCACAGCGTTTGCTTCTAGAGAAATTATAGCATTTTTGAATTAAGCATGAGTCAGAGAAAAGCCTTTGTATTGTATTATACCATTTTGAAAATTTTTATCCTAAGTAATCAACAGTCTGTGCTTAAATAGCAATAGGAGAAATATATGCTTTTCATCATGTATATACATTTTGTGTAGAGCAGTCAGTCAGTTTAATGTCTGAGAGCATGGACTCTGGATTCTTGCTCTCAGGGCTTATATCTCCACCCTGTGTCACCTTATGTAAGCTGTGGGGGTCATCTGTAAAATGGGGATAATAATAATCCCATATAAGGCTGTTATAAGGGTTAAACATGCTCTTTCAGTTAGAGCCCTTAAGTCAGTGCTTGGCCTGTAGTTAAGTGCTCAGTTATTGTTGACTGTTGATGTTGTTAGAAATATACTTACTATTTTTGTTATTAAGTGGGTTTGAATCATTGATTTTTTTTCTTGGAGTATGACTCAACTTCACATTAGTGTTTTAATATAACTGACTATAAACAGTGATGGTTAATAGTTTATATATACATTTTTTATACAGATTGAATGTAATTTTTACAAAATTTGATGAAGTCCAGAAATCTGGAAACATGATACAATCTGCAAATGGTGAGTAGAAAAAGCATTCTGTTTTTGCTTTTTAAATTTTGTCATTATTGTTTTTGCTATTTCTGAAAGGCATAAACTTGATATCAACTTGATATCTTAATAAGGGTTTCTAAGTCTGAAGACTTAACCTCCATTTATGCATTTTCCCATGCCAGAAACTACTTGTTTAGAGTTGTCTTTGACTTTCTTTCATAGCCTAAACTGAGTCCATCAGCTAATCCTGTTGGCTTTACTTTTAGAAATACATCTAGCATCCTGTTTATTCTCACTGTGACTGCTGCTCTTCTCCGAGTGCAGGCTGTCATTGTATTTTACCTGTGCTCTCGTGGTAGCCTTCTAACCAATATCTTTGCTTTTATTCATTTCCAACACCTAAAGACTGTTTTTCACAGAGCAATCAGAGTAATTCTTTTAGAATGTAACTCAAGTGGTATTAATTCCCTGTTCAGAATCCTCCAGAGTTTTCCCATCACAGAGACTACAATTCTGTGATTCACCATTGCCCACCAGGCCCTGCATGACCCGATACTGACCACCATTCTGATGATGTCATATCGTTCTTCCCGAAAGTTCTCTTGGCTCCAGTTCCATTGCTTCCTTGCTAATTTTGAACATTCTAAGCTTCTTCTACTTCAGGGCTTCTGTGCTTATGATTCCTTCTGCTTGAAACATTCATCCCCTATGTGTCCTCATGGCTGTCTTCCTCATTCCATCTAGATCTTGGCTGCTGTATAACTTCTGTACCAAGGCCATCCAGAATAGCACATCTAGTTTTCTAAGGGAACTCTCTGTGCCCTCATCCTGCTTGTTTTACTTTTTTAGTGCACATCACTACAAAATATTTTTTGTTTATTCATGAGGGCAAGAACTTTATTTTATTCCCTTCTTTATCCTAAGTGCCTCAAAAAAGTCCCTGGCATGTGATAGGTATGCAATAAATATTGTTGAAAAATAAAATAACAACAGACTTGAATTGTGACCTATTGTTTCTAGAACCTGTATTCCTTTTACTATACTTTGTGATGATATTTGAGGACAAGTGGGTAATTGTGATTTCAGAAGGGGAAGGAAAGACAAGACTGAATTACTGTATGAATGCAGTTCTCAAAAAAACAATTCCAACAAGAACTTTTTCTAACTCTGGATACCTCATTGTGTCATAGCTATTTCGGAATTGCTAGGGATCTTAAATCATAGCATAGCTTATTATTTTGAATATCTCGAGGTTGTGAAAATGTTTGAGTGGTTTTCCCCAAAATGACCTAGTATGTAAGGGCAGAGCCTGAACAGAATCTGGGTCTTTTGACTCACAGTCTTACCTACCGTTATCAGTAAGGAATTTATCTTTAGATAACATGTTTCCTCTAAAATGCTTGAATTGTTCTAAAAATGCTTTCATTAATTCTCTTTATTTCTTTTTCATATGTTTTTATGTTTATAAAAACCATATTAAAAGAAAAATACCATAATTTAGCCATCACCAACAAATGTTTTCATTTTTCCATATTCTCTTATAATGCATTTTCCTAAAGTTGTATAGTTTGTATGTAATTTTAACCATGGCATAATTTCTGTATATTACCCCATACTTTTGTGTTTACTTTTATAAGTGTTTTAAAAAATGAAATCTAGGTAGAGCTGGACCAGAACTCTGGCCTTGGAGTCGTGTTTCAGTGACATGCGTGCTTATTGATATGTGTGGGCAAGACTGCCCAGCCAGTTGCTAGAAAGAAACATGCTTTTAATTTCATGTGTGTATTTGGGTAGTTTGTATAGTTTTCTAGTTCAAAACTTGTTGGCGCCAAGATAGAAAGTACTGGGCAAGGCTGTTGTGGTGGTGCAGAAAAGTGAGTTTGTGCTTTATAGCCTATATTATAACTATGAAAGAAACTCATTATAACACTGGCACTGGGGAGAAGGACCACATCTGTGTTCTTGTCTCAAAGGTGTATATACACATCTATGAGCTTTAATGACTCATAAGATTTAATCATCAAGAATACCACGATCCTATGGCATTGGGTGTATCACAGCAATATTTTATTCTAAATGTCTAGGTGTAAATATTGTCCCCAGCTTTCCTTACTTTTGCGTGTGTGTGCATGTACACACACGTGTGTGTATATATGAATATGTAGTACAGGGGTAGGTTTGAGAATGGAGACAGTTATTTTAGGTAGCTGTTTTAAAAATAGCAAATAGCAGGGAAGACAACTCAAAACTTTCGGGAGGCCTGTAATTTTAGCCTTCTTACTGTATGTAGAATCAGCATTTTAATTGTTAGAGCCAAAAGAGAATAACTTAAAGGCATATGTATAAAGATTTCAGAATTCCTAACCCAGATAAATTTGGTCTCTTCACAGTAACTTTGAGAGACCAGTAAGATGTTCATTAACTGTCAGAAAACGAAAGCACCACCTGATTTCCTCCGTGCTGGAGCTCGGAACATTTAGGTAGTGTAGAGAGACCACACAAGCAATGGGTGAATCCTACCTCTCTTTTCCGATTTTTGTTTTTTGCCGAACAACTATCTGTGTAACCAGTTTTTAAACTTTTCTGGACTTCAGATCATTGACTACTCTACTTTTCTCAACCCATCCTCCTCCTGCTTTGTCCATGTTACTCTTAAGACAGCTTAGCTTGTGACCTTTCTGAACTTTCTTATTCTAGGAGCTTTTGTAGATTCTTTAAGATTGTCTGCATAGACAGTATATCATCTGCAAAAAAGAACAGTTTTATCTCTTTTATATCTGTATGTTTTTTATTTCTTGTCTTATTGCACTGGCTAGAGCTTCCACCAGTCTATAAAATAAGAGTGATGAGAGTGGACATCCTTGCCTGGTTCCCAGTCTTAGGTCTTTCACAACTAAGCAGAGTGCTAACTGTAGGTTTTTTGTAGCTGTTTTTCAGCAAGATGAGGTAGTTCTCAACTAGTCCTTTTTATCTGAGTTTTTATCACACACGAGTGTTAGATTTTATTATTTGAAATCATCAGCATATTTTAAACATTAAGGTAGAATTCATATATAAACTCTTTTAAAAAAAACTTTATTGGGGTTACATTGGTTAATACAATTAAATAATATTCAGGTGTACATTATAATTTGACATCTTTATATCCTATTGTGTTTACCATCCAAAGTACAGTTTCCTTCAGCTACCATATATTTGATCCTCTTGACTCACTTCACCCTCCCCCTAATCCCCTGTATTTGACCCCCTTTAACTGTCTACCTACCCATTCCTCCCCAACCCAGTACCCTGTGGTAACCACTAGTTTATATTCCATGTCCATGAGTCTCTGTTTGCCCTGTTCATTTGGTGCTTTTAGGTTTATATCCCACATGTAAGTGATGTCATTTGACTTTCAGCTTTTGCTGTCTGGCTTATTTTGCTTAGCATGATTATCTATCTCACGGTCCCATCCATGTTGTCGCAAATGGCAGTATTTCATCTCTTCTTAAGGCCGAGTAATATCCCATTGTATATATGTACCACAGCTTCTTTAGCCAATCATTTGTCTTAGGACACTTCAGTTGCTTCCTTGTCCTGGCCACAATGAATAATGCTGCTATGAACATGGTGTGCAAATATGTTTTCGGATATGAGTTTTCAAGTCTTTGGGGTAAATACCCAGTAGAAGGATTGCTGGATCATATGGTAGATCCATTCTTAGCTTTTTGAGGAAACTCCATACTGTTTTCCATAGTGGCTGTACCAATTTGCAGTCCCACCAGCAGTGTATGAGGGTTCCTGTTTCTCTGCATCCACTCCAACATTTGTTATTACTTGTCCTATTAATTATGGTTATTCTAACAGGTGTGAGATGGTATCTCATTGTAGTTTTGATTTGCATTTCCCTAATAGCTTAG